ATTATTATTTTTTTTTTTTTGATGTGTACATACCGGTAGCCCGAGGCTCGGCAAGGTTCGGGATACCGGTAGGCTGAGCCACGGGCTTTAACAACCGCGAGGTACTGGTGGTTTAATTGAAAGTTCGAAGAGTCATCGTGACAAGGGGGGGATTTGGTCCGTATGAGGTCCGTCTGTGTGTGTGTGTGTGTGTGTGTGTGTGAGTGATATATATATATATATATATATATATATATATATATATATATATATATACACATACACACACACACACAAAGAGAGAGAGAGAGAGAGAGAGAGAGAGAGAGAGAGAGAGAGAGAGAGAGACAATATGCAAAATAAGGACAAAACTCTCGCTAGAACATGGAAAGATACACCGCCATATCTTTTGTATAAGAAAGCCAAAACAAATGGCGGTCTATCTTCCCATGTTCCAGCGGCAGATTCATTCTCTTGCTGTTGGGACCGGAATCCCATCTAAGTGCACCGCATGAAAAATGAGAATGAATCCCCCGCTAGAACATGGGAAGATAAACCACCATTTTTTTTTGTTTACAAAAGCCTAAAAAATCGTGGTGTATCTTCCAATGTTCTAGGTGCAGATTCATTCTCTTCCTATTGGGATCAAGATCCCATACAATAAGAACGAATCTCCCGCTAGAACATGGGAAGATACGCCACCATTTTTGTTTGCAGCCAAGAATGGCTGCGTATAGATGGTTGTGTTTTGTCTGGTGGCTGCGTATAGAACCCAGCTTTAGGGTCAAGTGGGGACGAGTGCACCGAGGCAGCCAACGTTGTCCAGCTGCATGCACAATGTGGGTCGTCGACGCCCGTTGTCGGATGTGTTGTCGTGTAGAGGCGTGCACAACTAGGCCTGAAAAATAGGCGTAAGTGGGTATAAAATAGGTGTAAGTGGGTAATAGGGCGTCGCCCCATCGCCTGACCATTCGTTACTCGTTACATTGGGAGATCGACGGAGGCGAACTAGCTGAATCCTTTTGGGAGATCGACGGAGGCGGACTGACTGGATCCTTTGCGAGTTTTTTTTGTTGCGAGTTTTTTTTTTTTTTTTTGAATCGAATTGTGTCCATGTTTGTGAAGATGTGCATGAAAAAAGAAACCTCGACATGCACAAAAGATAAAAACATTGTCTGTGTATCTTTCCATATTCTAGCGGAAGATTCACTCTCGTTGTGCACATTTCGAGAGTAGTGCAGCGAGACCCCTTATCTGACGCAGACTGGCGGCCGGTCATTGTGATTCTGCGAGCGACTGCGGGTCTGGCTGCACTACTCTTGAAAGGTGCAAAACGAGAGTGAATCTTCCGCTATAACATGGAAAGATACAGCGACATTATTTTTATTTATTTATTTTTTTTTCAAAGAGAAATCAAGGAAATCATGGAAATGTGAAAAAATGGGCAATTCATCAACCACAGCAAACAGCCAGCCGGGATAAACACCGTCAACGTTGAAACACCGACGGATGCCATTTGTAGACGCCCTTCGCCCTCTGTGCATGCCACACATGCCCCTTGCTAACCTATGATGGTGGTCGCTCTTACAAAGCACAACTCCTATCACTATCAAAGGAGAGGTCACGAGGCCAGCTACTCGATAGCCCAAGACAGACGCAGAGTCAACAGCGACTCGTTGGAAAAAACGCAATACTACTACGATCAGTTCTGTCGAGGTACTATCTGTCGAACGGGGATGGGCGCCGACATCATCTGTTGTTTCGCCTGCTGTTCCTCCATGCATGCCATGCCACATATGCCCTCTACGCATGCCACACATGCCCCTCTCTTACTTATGATGGTAGTCACTCTTACGAGGCACAACTCCTATCAAAGAAGAGGTCACGGGGCCAGCTATTCAATAGCCCAAACACAGAAGCAGAGCCAGCACCGACTCGTTGGACAGCAAAAAGAAAACACAACACTGCTACGATGAATGATGCTGAGGTACCTTCTGTGGAACGGGGGTGGGCGGTGACATCATCTGTTGTTGTGCCTGCTCTTCCTCTGTGGGAGCTTGGTCCCACGCGCGCATGCAGTACCTACTGTATCGGCACCAGATTGTCCCAGAGCCAGCACCAACTCGTTGGAAACCAAAAAAAAAACACAACACTGCTTCGATCAATGCTGAGGTACCATCTGCAGAACGGGGGTGGGCGGCGACATCATCTGCCATTTTGCCTGCTATTCCTCTGCGGGAGCTTGGTCCCACGCATGCGGTACTTGCTGTACCGGCACCAGATTGTCCCATACGATCTGGAATTTGGTCACTTGGGGCTTGTCAGCCAAAATGTTACTTTGAACCTTCTCCAGCACAACCTTCTGAAGGGTTTTTTCTCTCAAGTCCTCGTCCAAATACTCGTTATTCACATAGTAGCCTACTCTGATGAACTCATGCCCTCTGTACGAACAGGTTAAGAGGAGAACAGTGACACCAATTATATCCTGATCAGGAATCTTGTCCGGATTCGGTGCATTAGCCTGAAACACAAAGCGATAGCTTCCCTCATTCACGGGGCCTACGAGCACACTCTCAAGAACCTGGTCGTACTGCTCGTCTTCCGCCGAGCCAACGTAGATAAGCTTCCATTCCAGGTCGCTTGGCAAAGGTAAGTAGCATTCGTAAGCTATCTCGAACTGAAAAGGATTTAAAAACAGTGTCGGGTTGTC